TATATATACATATATATATATATATATATATATAACATTATCTGCTAGGGTTTCGATCATTGCGAACGCTGGCTTCCGTTAAATCTCGCATCGTACTTCATCAATTTCGCCTCATTTTCGTCTGTTTCGTCGACTTTGCCTGCTTCATCGTGCTTCGTCGACGAAGGAGATCGCGCCTCGACTTCTTCTGCTTCGTCCTTCATCCTTTGTCGACTTCGCGTCGTGCTGTCCTCGTCGCGCTTACTTTGTCTGCTCGTTTAAGGACGATTTCCGTCCGGCAAGTGAGCAGAACGTCGCAGTGTCTCGTGCATACGGGAAGGATCTAGATAGCTCCAAGCAGTAAAGAAGGCGTTAACACAGCTCTTCTCTTTGTTGTAAGTAACTTGCTGTGATGGAGCTTCCCCATTCTTCGATTGAACCCAGCAAAATCTCTGTTGCCCACGTTATGGGTAATCCTCCAGAGTAGACTATGGCCATGTTCTACTCAAGTTATAATTAGAATCGTGATGGTACAGGTGACTGATCATTTATTAAGAATGCAAGCAAGAATAGTGAGAAGTCAACACTCTTTTTCTCTGAGTCAGAAATTTCAACCCTGACTGACAAATTCAAATTTGCTCTCATTGGGAAATTTCAGTGGGGGCACCCAGCTATGAAAGTTATCAGGAAAAGTTTTGATGACCTCAAATTAGCAAGAAAGTAGAAGTGAGACTCATGAATGGGAGACATGTATTGATTCAGTTAACCGTGCCTGAAGACCATACTCGTATTTTCTCCAAAAAATATCTTAACATTGCTGGTAAACCAATGAAGTTACTCAAGTGGTCTCCTGATTTTGACCCAAATCATGAACTTCCTACTGTACCGGTATGGTTAAGTCTACCTGGTCTCAAGCTGCATTTTTTTTATCATCAGGCTCTTTATTCTATTGGTGTCATACTTGGGGACCCTATAAAGCTAGATCTATCAACTTTCAACCTTGTCAGGCCATCTATGGCCAGAATATTTGTGGAAAGAGATATTACTTTGTCTGATGTTACTGAAAGTCTGGCTGGGCACAACGCATAATGGATATTGGCAACAAATCGTCATTGAGCATAGACCTTCTTGTTGTTCTCATTGTAAGATTTTTGGGCATACTCTTGATAAATATCATAAGTTTCACCCTAATTTGAAATAGAAAGATCAAGTAAATAAGAATGGATCTATGAATATATATATATCAACTAGAGAGAAAGCTACCACAGGTACCACAGGACAGATTTTGGCACAGGACAGATTTTGGTGTCTGATTTTATTGCCCCTGTTGTTACTGTTACTGTAAGTGATGTGATGTTGGCACCTTCAAACCCCATAAAAAAACAATACTGATGGACTATTACCTATAAATGATAGTGTTCAGACTGATAATCAAGAGAGCCTAGTAGCTCCATTTCTTCAAGAAGTATCCGGTGTAGGGCAATGTTGAGACAACTCATACTTCACATATACTAGAACATATTGTGGGTACTACGGTTGGTATTCCTTCTGCTTCAGCTCTATCACCCCATCAGATTGATTCTTCGGATGAGGAATGATAGATCTATTCAAGGAGGAAGAAGAAGAATGGAGACCGACTCCAACTCGGGAACATACTGGATGATATATTGGTTACTACTAGCAATGACAATCATCTTACCAACTTATTAGCTTGCTCCTTCCCTAGAACTAGAGGCAGAGGCAATACCAAATTGGGTCGCTCTCTAGCCACCTGATACTATGTATTTCGGCACTGTTAGGCTTTTTATTTTAGTATCTAATGTATTTTCTGTTTCTTCTAGTTTTAAAATCTTTTATGGTTTTTTTTGTGGGCAGGGAGCCATGCTTGGGCCCTCCCACACATTATATCTGTATTTTTCTTTCTATTTAATATATTAGTCTTTTTTGGGCTTTCAAAAAAAAAAAACACACACACACACACACAACACAACACACACACACACACAAACTATATATGCATAAATGCATGCATGTATATTAGACTAAGAAATTGGTTTAAGAGACACACACACGCGTGCGCGAACTATATATGCATGAATGCATGCATGTATATTAGACTAAGAAATTGGTTTAAGAGACTGAAAATTGATCATCACCAAATTAGATCAAATGGCTATGATCCGAACTTAAGCAAGTTTAGATTAGCTTGAGAATGAAGTATTAGCAGCCCTATGCCACATACATTGGTGAAAGAGATTAATGAATTATAGAAATAACTTTACCTCTAGAATCAACATGATTACATCACCATCCCAATGTCATATATTTTCAAAAAAGAGATGTTGACCACTACCTTTTACATGAACAAATATTCCGATGGAAATAAAAATAGTTCAATCATATGTAAGGTATCTTCTATAACTATTATCACAGCAGAAAATGAGGATGAAAAGCAGTAGTTATGGATGGAAGTATTTACCATCTGCTCAATAATGGGACCAGCATCAAGTTCTGGAGTTACGAAGTGAGTTGTCGCACCGATCAATTTAACGCCGGAATCATAAGCCTGCTAAATACAAGAAAGATTAGCTAACATACGAATAACATAATAAAAATTCTAGCAAAAAACATAAATGGGAAAAGGAGTTCAAAGTTTAACCTGCCTGGCAGGATTGCTACCCTTAAATGATGGAAGAAGCCCATGATGAATGTTAATTATATCTTTACCATAACTCTCCAAAAAATCAGCAGAAAAAATCTGTAAAATTAGTAAGTATCAATTCCACTGCAGTAAAATAGGCAGGAAACATAAAACATGCTATAAAAAAAATTAATAAATAAATAATAAATAAACTGATTTATAGATTTATGCAACATAAGAAAATTTTCTAGCAGATTCGATTACTTTTATTTAAATTTTCATTGATTTAGCAATTAGGGTTATCTTTTTTTTTAAATGAGAAAATATGATTTTTAGAATTTTTTTATCTTAAGTATGGTTCTATCTTCAACGTTATTTCAATAAAAGAGTGTTTGATGATTATTATTTAAATTATTGAATTAGAATTGAAAATTGAATTTTATCTTGAAACCCTCTTTTTCTCTAATCTGGTGGCGTCTCTTCTCCTTTTCTAGTTTCTCATTTAACGTCCAATATTTCTCTCTCCTCATGTGATATCACTACATTACTGCAACAACAATCGGTCCCCCCTTCTTTTTCTCCCATACTACTCTTTCCAATTCCTATACATCTATGACAAAAATCAAGTTAATTTCAAGAGAAGAAGTTCAATGGGATGTACAAGGTCTTATCTCAAATTAGCATCAAGTCAATTTTTCTCCAACATCAATTTGGTATCAAAGCTAAACTTATTTATATTAGATGTATTTAAACCCTACTCTAATCCATATAAATCCATTTCATCTATTACCATGACCTTGGGAAAGCTAAGAAAAATGATTGTATAAGATGTATAGATTAAGCTTGTAAAACAGATTATAAATTTAAAAGTTTGTCCACGGAGCTACAAAATGTTTTTAGGTTACTTTAGATGTTATTAATTTATTGGCATGTTTCATCGAATTTCAAACACAGGCACGAAACAATTTTGTCAATATAGTTTAGATATAGGTAAAAAAAATGTATTGTACAATTTCTAAGCTTCAACATCATTTAGTATGCGAGAATAGAGTAAACAAATTGGTTCTTAAAATTTATAATATTTTGGATTACGTATTTACGTTAGAACTTATTTTAGCTTCATTTAACTTAATCATTAAGAATGTTTACCTTAAATTAGATTATAGGATTTTAGGCTTCTCACAGATGACAGAATATATGACTATTAGTTCATTGAATATTTTTTATTTGAATTCAAATTAATTTGTTGGTTCCTCTCTCTCTTACCAGAGATGTGTACCATCATCTACTCTCTTCCTCTAGCCTTGGGTTGGGTACCCGTTCCCTCAAGTTCAAAATCATCAAAAGAATCATTACACTGACGTCTTCTGGTTATTACAACAATGGATGGTTGCTGTTGCTTCTTGTGGTGAAGGGTCATTTTGATGCTGTTGTTGTGGATAACTGGTAGTGCTCATCAGTGATGTGTAGTATCACTGGTTCTTGCTATATTCCTTTTAGGAAAAAAGTTAGGAGAATAATGAAGGTTTATACCAAGTAATAGGAAAGAATCCAAATCTGGTCGACAAAATGCTACCATGTAAAGTTCCTCATGCAAGAGATTTCCATGTAATTTGTTCTTCACAAAATCCATTTCTCATCAAAACTATTCTAATTTCCTTCCTAATCCATGCTTGCACCCAACATTAACTCTCTCCCTGATTGCTTGCAAAGACTGATTCCACCTCCTAATCTCTTAGGATTATTAATTTTTTTGTCTCTTCTGTCCATAATTTAATCATCCTATTTAGGCTTATAAACTATCATCATGCTCGTTATAATTATAATAAGCATCATAAGTCACGTTCATATGAATATCATAAATTGCACTTTTCACATCCCTATCGTGAACCTTTTGATGACAACTATTATGATATAAGTAAACTAAAAACCCACTTTTCTTATGATGATACTTGATACCATCATTAAAAACATCAAATTGAAAAGGCATGTGCTTCATTTGGGAGAGATAGCCTACGTCTCGAATTGTAGGAGCTTATGTATTCGTGTTGTTTTTTAAAATAACAATATTATTTTTCCAATTTTTTGTGAGAAATTCAACTGGGATTGTACCATTTTCTTAATGACGGGTGCAATCAAAGATGGGCACCATTATTGTTGCTCCTTCTTGACCTTTTTTCACCCCATCATCCACTTATGGGTTATCCTAGCTAACCCAATGTGCCCCTTGACTAAAAAATGCAGTTATGAGTGGAATAGTGTCGTCCTTAACTAGAGAATGAACCACTGGATGGTCATAGTCCAAAATGATTTAATACACCACTAAGATGGTATGATATGGCACTGATTAAATTAAAGTAGCATTAACAAGCCCAAGAGAGGATCTCAATTGACCCAACTAATCCCTAAGGTTTTGTTTCACAAAACTTGGCCTAGGTTGCTTGAATTCATTTGATTAGCCTCAGCCAATCCCATCAACCTAATGGAATGTAGTATTCGTCGTCCCGACACATTTACATAAGGCCAATTCACCGTCATATGCCTCATTGGGCCTTAACCAAGCACCATCAACCTCTACTCAACCCAATTGAATCCTAACTAAAAAAGATTGGCTATAAAAGCACAAGGTTGATCAATAGGCTTGAATTTATAATGTAAAGTCTTAGCAAGCCTATTTAAATTTTTTAACTATGGCTATTTCTTTTACTAAGTCTAAACCACTACCGAAATAACTCACTCCATTGACATAAATGAGCATCACTTCAAGATTTATCAAGCATACCATACTTAAAAGCATAAGTTCAGCCATGACTTTTAGCTGATTCAAGTTCCTTGAGTCCTTATGATAAACTCAATAAGATTCCCAAACTTACATAAGAATTGCAAATTAATCCTAATTTGTAGTCAGTCACCCCTAATTGAACGGCCTGTTTTGATCAGGGCAAGCTTATTAAATCACTTAAATTTAGTCAATCTAATGTAGACTACAAAGATTCTGTCCACTTAACCCATTCACACAATTGAGTTCAAATTGTGTCACGTCAATTACTTGGCTTGATTAAGCCAGAGCACAAGCCTTTGAATCAAGTCTAAGACACTCTTAATTTCACTTTAGCATAAGCCCAAATAGACTTGGATCTGCGAGTGGTCGAGTCATGCTAAGTACGCTAAAACTCATCCCCAAAGTCCAAACCAACCATTTTATCCATTTTCTCGCATCAAGTCTCACACTTGAATCAAGCTAGCTAGTTCTAATCCATCTTCAAACAAAACTTAATGTGCAGTGATCCATGAGCCTTGGTACAAAATTTCATCCAAATTGACCAGTTTTTTTATATCTATTAAGACCATTTAAAAATCTCTGACTTTCCCATTACATGAATACACTATGCACCTCCTAGCTAAGCACCGAAAGTTAGCAACCCCGCCTTTCATTCATCCTTTCCTATAAAATTCCAGATGAAATCATGCCAATTATCCTTTTTTAATAACTCACACACACCGGTACGTGCTAAGCCTTCAACTCAAGAACTTGTGGTTGGAGACTCAAACACCAAACCACTATGCCAAGTGAACTGCACAAGGGGAACTGCCTTCTTTGACTAGTAGTTCAAATTTAATGTTTACCCGTAACCATAAAACCATGGAAATATGATATGGTTGCATCTATGAATATCTACATGAATTTGTATATGTGCGAATGTATGCATGTATGTTTGATTAATAACTTGTAATTGGAGATTGAATCAAATCAACTTATAATTAGACTTTTCTCAAGTAATTGGAGATTGAATCAAATCAACTTATAATTAGACTTTTCTCAAAACCATATCAAATGAATTTGAGATGATCCTGAGCCAAATTCATTTTGAAATTGAATTGTTAGTAGCCATATTTACATCAAAAATATAAGCACAACTAATCCACATTAATGGAGCTTAGATATTTAGAAGAATACCTGCATGTATCTAGCAAGTACAAGAAAATCCGTGTCTTTAACTAAATCCAAAATCTCTTGTTCTCTGTTGTTTCCATTATCAATTGGTAGATAATAATACGGAATTCCATGCCTCTCAAGGAAATTCATAACGTGTGTGTTTGGAGCCCTGTTGTGATTGCTTCAAAATGATATTTCATGTCAGTCGCCAAAATTTGCTAATGGTAAGAGAATCCATTTTTTTGCACCTTATTACAGAACTTATATCCAAAGGAAGCCTACCATCCTGCCAATCATGCAATACATCCACCAGACAATGGTCCTGCAAGTGTGACAATTAAGACGATGGAATCTCAAAGAGCAAGTTATTGAAATTTAAATTTAGAGATGATTAAAAAAAAATAAAAAGAATTTTAAATTTATAGAGGAATCGCATGATGCTTATGATATATTTGTGAAGCTTATGACTCAAGAGTGATGCAAGGATGCAAAGAAACCACAAGATTAGTCAACTGAGCAAAAGCCCAAAATAGATCGACAATCAACAAGTGACAAATTTAGTCTTTGAGTTTTAAAGTGCTCCACTTCAGTCCCATACTATTAAAAATTAATCCAAATTCGTTAGGCTGAATTTCATGGTTAAAGTGACCATAAACTTTCAGGGTATTTTAGGAATAAGAATTTTAAATGAAATTTTATTGGAATTATTACTTTGTTTTCATATGTAAATAATTTCAATTCAAAATATGAATCCATGACTTGAGAAGAGCTGAAAAAGAATCAAGGATAGAATACAGACCGCAGTCCCACCTGCTTTGAAGCAAAAAGTGCAATCTTATACTTTGGGTCAAGATCTGGGACCCGAACAGTAGATCTTTTTGCATTGAAGAGCTTTCCTATGTTGGAGAAATCATTCAGCATCGCATTGTGGGGCCAACGTGCGGGATCAAAAACAAATTCACTGCAAATTTGTATCAATTTTTATCATCAAATTTCTAAAAACTGGGAAAATAAAGCTTATTTAAGCATCAAAAAAATGGGTACAGCATTTGAAATCCACCTAAATTAGACATGATTTAATTTGTTCAGAAACTTGAAAGCATCCAAGTTTGGCTATTCACATTGAAAGCATAATACAAATCAGATAAACAAACAAATTCTTCATTGAGGACTTTGTTTTCCAACTTCATTAGTATAAAAACTACCATAAAACCCCCAAAATGACGGAAGGCCAGTTATAAGTGCAAATTCAAAGGGAAGACATGAATAGAATGCTTATCGAGCAACAAACAGAATGCTTTACAATTTTCAGATTTGCATCAGCCAGAAACGCAAGTCCAACAGTTTTTGTTCCAATGCTAGAATTTCAAGAGAAGTTTTATTTAAAACGTTAGGATGACAAAATTTTAGCCAGAAAAACAAAGTAGGAAGAATTCCAAATTTGGGAACACGATGAGTACTTAAAACAAGAATCTACTAACAAAAAATATTAAAATTTTCAGTAAGATTTTCTTTAGCTCTACTAGCTTTTCTGGCACTTTAAAAAGCATTAAATATGAGTTCAGGATTTTTACCTGCCACTGACTAACCCATATGATGTAAGAATATAATTGCTACATGAGAAGTTATTACACTTAAAAACCCTGGACAAATTAAAAATATATCACAATGAATTACTTCTATTAACATAATACTCTAGCCCTATCGATGACAAGCCATTGATTGACCAACTTTGGAAGGCGAAATTACTAATCAAGCTCAGATAATTATGCTCTCGGAAAATGAATATAATTACCTAACTCCAACCCTTGCCCCTTAAACTGCAACCAGGGTTCTATAGAAATCACAACAATCAACCACTGAGAACAACAAGCACTTGAAACATTGCTATTTATAAAACTAGCACCCTCTTCTATCCAACTTTTTAATTCGTCATACATATATACACTCAATTCAAGTTCCATTCAAGTTAGACTTTGCTTATCAGTTGGCGCATCAACTTCCATAAAATGTCTATCAATCAAAATTCCGATTACAGAGATTTGGAGCCAAATTTATGGTTCTAGAGAGAGAGAGAGAGAGAGAGAGAAGGAGGAGGAGGAAAACCAACCTTCTGGAGTAGAAAACCTGTTTATTCTCAGGAACGAAGACATCGACGAAATGAATGTTGGCGCCGTGCAGAGCGATGCATTCGGAGAGCTTGGCGACGATTCCCACCTCGTCCTGAACACCAACAGAATTATATCGATAATGAGAAATCAGCCAAGAAGAACAAGAATAGCGAGAAGAAGATTAGCAGAAGCCTACAGGGCAATGGAAGACGTGGATTCCATGGATGAGGGATGGTGAATTGGAGTACAGCGGGATAGTGGAATATCTAAAGCTCCTCGTAGCTCGGACGAAGTTCGACAATGCTCTCCTGCGTAAAGCCATGGCCTTCACCTTCTTCTTTTTCAGAGCTCTGAGAACTAAAATCTTACTCATTTCTTTATCGAGCCTTTGTAGGGTGCAGATTTAAATCTTTTTATTTATACTAAAAAAATATTTAAATATAATTTATTTTATTTTTAATTAATAATTAATTGAATATAAAATTTTATAGCCTTAATGAAAACTTGTATATATATATAATTTAATTATTTCGAAATAAAAAGAGCCGAACACGAATAAATAAATTTTTGTTAATGTTCTGCTCGATTATATATTTTGTGCTCGACACATTTTACTTTGTGTACGAATCGAACACGAGATTCTTAACGAGCAGAACATGAAATTGTTTGCGAACAACAAGCCATTTTGAGTGCCCTAATGCTGAGAATCACAAAATGGGTCTGTAAATCATCTGATTTATTATGCTTTAAACAAGATCATTCTTTCATTCCCTATGTATTAATAACTTATTTCAGGGTACCATCATTGTCTGATAAATTTTCTTATCTGTAAAGAGTAAAGAGGCATAGCATATCGAAATTCAAAAGATTAATATTTAATAATATAATATTAATTTATTTTTATTTAGAACTTATCTTGATAATATAATACGAATTTTATACTACTTATCCAAAGCTTCAGAACCAGACAAAAGTTTACAAGATCACATCATGTGCTTCGAAGGCAAAATCCATGCATATTGCAAAACCATAAATACATACCAATAAAGCTACATATTCTTGGAAAATATCTACAAGCTGTCAAACATTAAAAAACTGAACTGAAGTGTACAACAACAACATTCCCTATTTTCATTCCTTGCCTCAAATATAACCAGATCAGGAGAAAATATGGAAGAAAATATGGAATGGGTAGCTTGACAGAAAAACAACAAGATCATGGTTTGCTTGATAATTTATTTTGTTTATCTCGCCTATATTTAAGAGCAAGAAGATCTCATGCATCTGTCCTACGACTGCAATCTCACAAATAGTGCACTGCTGACCTATAATCAGGGGCGGAGCCAACCTTTTTTTGGGGGGGGGGCAAACTGCTCTCCTATACCCAATATGATATTTCAAGAATGACCAAATTTATCTATCAGAAGAAGCAAAAAAAAATTATATTTTCATACAAGTAAAAATCTGAATTTAAAAGAGGGGCAATTGCCCCCTAAACCCTAACCTGGTCAGCTCCTACCTATAATGGATGTTTTCACAACCCAATTTGATATAACGTGTCATATTGAGGCGAGTTGCCTCGTTTCAAGATCATAACAGATAAATTATTACCCAAAATTTATTTACTTGTTTTTCTTAAATTTTTATAAATACAGAGTCATTAATATCGTCAAATATATAAAATAAAAAAAACACAAATTTCATTCAATCATATCAATATACAATAAAAAGAATATATACAACAAATCATGGTATAATCCTTCATCATAAAAAATAAATACCATCATGACTGTCTAAATTATAAATTAAGATACTGGCATATCTAATATCAAGCTCTAAATGAGATCATTAATCGCCCTAATGATGTTAGGAATATGAATTTAGTGAATTTAGCTCGAAGATCGTTAATCACTCGAAAATTGACTCGAATTTTGGCTCACATTGAAATAAATGAACCGAACTACGAGCTAAAATTATAGATTAATTTTTTTTAGCAAATTTTGAGCCGAACCAACTTGACTGGAAATCAAATAGTTAACAACCCCTAACAAATATTGTCCAAACATATTTGAGTACAAACAAAAATATAGTTTGAATAAAATTTAAACACACATGAAGAATGCGCAATTTCCAAAAATATTTAGAACACAAGCTTCAAGCCACAATCTGTGAATCAAAATCTGAAGCAACATAAAAATTTACAAAAAAAAAAAAAAGAATGGTAATAATATTCATAACTAGTGATGAACAAAGTGTTGCCAACGTCACCGTCACGATCATTTTATGACAAAACCGAACATGTGGAAAGGCCAAATCAATCTTTTTCCTGTAGAAAAATGGAAAAAAAATATTTGGATATTTTGATTTGAAACAAATCTTTGGGCAAATTTTCCCAAAAAAATATTAGAGTTTCTCTTCGATTGGTATCATTATGGGGGCATATGAATTCAGATTTCCCCAACTAAATTGAAATAGATTTATTTAATTCTTATTGAACTTAGAACATTTTTTAAAAAAAAAACTTAAATTGCTAAAATATTAATCAAGACATATTCTTACAACTAGAGTGGACTTAAAATTTATTAGATATACCTTATGATTAGTTGAATAAACTATTAAAAATTATAAGGTTGAGGTGCCGGTATGTTGCAATGCGAAATGAAACAAATGAATTTTGTAACATGGGAATTTAGAATAAAGGAGGTTAAAATGACCGACTATTTAAAGCGAGAATAAACGTTAATGGATCAAAGATGATGAACAACAAATACACAATAAATTTACCAACTCATGCGATCCTAAATCAGAGCTAGGGGTGTAAACGAGCCGAATCTCGTGTTCGGCTCGTTTATATTTCGAGCTCAAAAAGTGTGTTGGTGTTCGGCTCGATTGCTTAGCGAGCCGAACACGAGCCGTTCACGGGCCCTAATCATGTAGCCATAAGATGTTAAGGATTGGGACAAGATTTAAAAATTATTATTTATATTAAAACATCATTTGAATCTAATTTAATAATTTTTATTCTATTTTCTTAATTAATACTTATAATTGATTATAAATCTTTATAGCCTTGTAGTCAATTAAGTTTTTTAAAAATACTATTCATCAAAGAAATATATATATAACACTATATATATATATATATATATATAATTGATTAGTAGTATTTCGAGCCAAAAAGAGTCAAACACGAACGAACAAATCTTCGTTTGGGTTGTTCGTGTTCCGCTCATTAACTTAGCGAAGCGAGCCGAACACGAGCTATTCGCGAACAACGAGCCGTTTTGACAGCCCTAATTAGAGCTTAATAAAAACTCAAAATTAACAAAAACAGCCTGAGAAAATATCATAAATAAATAGATTCCGTTACGAATCGCTGAAAGTGCAGCCGATGTGGTTATATTTGAATATTTTAGACGCAGTTTTTACAGAATTCCATGTCTTATGCGTCTTGAGAGTAAGGAGAGCGTCAAAACAAAAAAAATTACCTCACAATCCAGAATAATGAGACTAAGATCCAGTCCATCTACCAATGGCTTCTCCAGCTTTAATCCTATCACCACTACGAATACAGAAGTGGAAATCTGAAACGGGTGCTTGAAACACCAGAACCACGGTTGAACCCATGTTGAATGCTGCCACCTCTTCACCCTTCTTAATCATCAATCCAACTCCTTCAGGTTCATATATTTTCTCATCCGGAGGTTCTGTATGCAGTATTTGTCGCTTGGGCCTGTTAGTCTTCAGTTCCGGCTCTATGTAAAGCTGTGAAAAGAAAGTTTATCCTTAATTAAGAATCTTGCGAATTAATAAACGAAGAAACAGAAATAAAATTAGAACAATGAATTTGTAAAAAAAAAAAAATTAAAAAAAACAATTAGTGACACAGATGGATTTGGCTCAAACAAACACATTCAACAAAATCACTCAAAAAGTAAGAAAATCAATCCAGAAAACCATATGGGCGAAAATAAAATCATCACTTTCCAAATCATATATTACATCTACAAGAAACTGAATAATGCCTTAAAGCCAATAAAGAGAACTATTTTCTGCTTCTCCTGAATTTTCCTAAATTGATATAATAATCTAAGAAATGCAAATCCATCTTTTTCACTGCATTGTCAGGCAGGGACGCTCATATCTGATCTAGTTTTACATAAGTAGTTCCAAATAAATTGTGCCAAGCCACATAACTTAGCACGATTCCAGTAACCTATTAATAGAAGGACGGGGGTGAAGACAAAATCAGGTGCAGTAATCTAGAAAGATATAAAGTTTTCCAAGTTAGTTATTTTTTTTTTAAATTGCATTTAGAACGTTTATATGAAGGCAAGTGCTATCAGCTGAGCATTCACTGTGTGGACATTCAGATAAAATCCCAATTAATGGATTGCATTTACTGTGTAACGTCATTAAAAAAAAAAAAGGGAGAAGAAAGAGACTTTGATGGAACCAATATTGGTTGCACCAATTGCTGCCATTGCCATAAATCCTTCTCTCCATCGACCCTCAAGAATCACCTGAAAAAAAAGAATTAGCATATAAGCAATTGATCATATTTATCATAAAAGTTTGAATTTCACACAGAAATTTTACTTTAAAAAAAAAGATTCATAAAAGCTAGTTAGTGAAGTTAAACTGGAAAAAGATTAACGGTACATCTTTAAATGGCTGACTAAGAAATATAATAAAATGGCTGGTTCTATTGAAAAGACTACCACATCAGTTTTAAAAAACTGTGACTCGAGGCTTGATCACTCCCTTAGGATCATTTTGGAGCCTAGGGCCGGATGTGCTGCAAAAAGTGAATTTTTAAAAGAATGGTTTGTTTGCGATCACTTTTGGCTTTTATTTTTTGCTTTTATTTAAAAAAAAATGATTGTTTAGTTTTTTTTTTTTTTTTTTGCATGCTATAGTTTTTTATTCTCAAAAACACACAAAACATCTCAAAGTTATCTTTAGTGTCTTTAAAAACAGCTAAACCCCCTACTATTTCATTTTGAGATATTTAATTGAAATAAATGGGATAGCTATCCAGGTGGATTTCAATTAAATCCGGATGACCAAAGTTTCCCGAGAGCCCAAGCACCCATATTTAATTACATCTAATATGAATATTTCCGTTTAAGAACCATAGATGCACTCTAGCTTTGAGTTTGTAATTTTAGATTTATGGCTGACGAGGAGCATGATGGGGATGGGCGGTTAACTTGGTTAAAATCCTACAGTTCTGACATCAAAGGTTGACCCCAAAAGAAGTTTTGAAAGACATCACCCAATGAGTTTGATTAGCATTCAAGAGATTCTACTAAATTGGGGTGGCCAGGTGTTCAAGAACAGCAAACCTTGCTTTGGCGAGTCCAAATATTCACATTTAATTTGGACCTCCTAAAGCTAACTGATATTGTTCAGACATTCGAAGTAATTGTTACGAGAGTTTAAAAGCTGGTTATGGAAAATCATCATGTCGGAGCTGACTTGGAGACAGAGAATGTTGTTGAATTGCTAATTCAATTTTCAAGTACAATTCGAGAAGGAAGATTCCTAAATTAAAAAAATAAATATAAACACCAACAACAACAAGCCTTTATCCCACTAAATAAGGTCGGCTAACTGAATCCTTTTTCTCCATTGTGTCATATTTAGTGTAATATTTTCATTTAATTCTAATAAATTAAGATAAAGTGTTATTTATTCATTTTTAAAACAATAAATAAATTTTAAAAAGAAAAACATGTATGAGGTAGAGGATATTTTTCACTAGATGCCTCAAATAAACAACATTTAAGTTGTTCCAAGTTCTAAGTTGAAACACAGTTGAATTATAGAAATGTTTCTAAAACTAATGCTTAAGGATTAATCTTAACTTGTTCAAGTGATTATTTTATTCACAAGTGGGTCCTGAAATTAGTAAATGTAAGGCTTTCAGGTGTTTGGTCTAGCCAGAAGGTTGATTGATTAATTCGGATAACATATTCACATATTTGGTATGAATTTTAGCTTTGAGGTTTAATGAAATTCAAGGCTTATTATCACTTATATTTGGTACAGAAGGCCCAAAAGCCAATATTCATGCATTTGTTACAAACTTGAGTAGAAGATTTATGATATGCTTCTGTGTAAAAGGCTTGGTGAAATTTGGCCCGATCTAGCAATAATGGTATGTCTTAGTACCTACCATGAAGTTTTAAGTATGAAGCTTACAGCGTCAACTTTGACAAGCACACGAAAGACTCAGCAAACTCGCCCGGAATAAAATTTTGACGGTTAATTTAATGCATTGTAATTAACCAACCCTTAAATCATGATGAAATTTCAATAACAACAACAACAACAACAAGCATTTATCCCACTAAGAGGGGTCAGCTGCGTAAATCCTCTCTCTCCATTGCATAATATTGATGAAATTTCGATAATATGCATGATATTGTATGAAAATTTAAATTCTCAAATCCATGAAGGAACTTTACCTAACTGCGGGGCCCAACTACAAGTCAAAGAGAGATTATATGTTCTACACCGTTTGTAAAGGACACTTTGTTTTCAAAAATTTTTAAGATTTTAATAAAATTTGATAAATATTTCAATATCAAAGCTTTGCTGTTTAGTTTCTTGAGTTTTGGGGGCCAACACAACAAAATATATGTTCCATATAACCTTTGGAAACTCGCAAAGGACTACCTCATGTTAGATAATTTTTTAGATTAATTGGACTTTCGGTGAATTTATGTTGGTACAGGGCAATTTAGCTATTTTTTGGGTTGCAGTAATTGGATAATTAGGCGCTCTTTACCAAATAAGCAAAAGAGGACACGCGCCTGCATATATAGATAGACAGAGAGATAGACAGATATGCTTTTTTTAGAATAAATTTTGCAATTTATAACAAAGTTTTATTTTTATATAATCTATTTCAATTTTTTCTAGCTTTAAAATATATGGTAATGAATTTTTCAAGATAATTTTTGGATATTTTAAGTCTTATTCATTCAGATGATTTGATGGGATAAAAGATGAGTGACGTAAATGATTCAATTACTATAAATGGACACACTCTCTCTCATTCATTCAAATTTTGTGATAAATGGTAAAGGATATGCAACGATCCCTCCATCCTTCCACTTGTTCTGTGTCTGAGAATGAACCAAGAGAACTAAAGGAATCATGCAAGCAAAAGTAAATTTTAACAGGAATTATACAGGTTGAAAAAAAAGGTTTAACTTACCCTCTCATTTTCAATGTGAAGGTTTCTAATTGTTCGAGTTGCCCGTTTATTCAAAGGGAATAGACGACCTGTAAATGTATCAAAATATCAATAATAGCAATTGGTTAAGAAATTAAATTGCAATAGTGATATAAATTGCCTTTAATAACAATGAGGATAATAGGGCAAAAGGTGGCGTAAAAACTTACAAAAAGGATTCTTATACAAAAAAACTAAAAATTCGATCATAAAAATGTACTTGATACACCACCAACAAAATTTCATCATCCAACACGAATCTCGAGGCATGACACGAATTTCAAGATGATATTTTAAGCAAGAAACATTCAAATTTTGATAAAAAGTCATCCAGAGCTCCAATTTCAGCAAACTTATAGTCAAACTGACCGGTTCGAAGAGACGGACCCAATGATATGAAAACTAATCCAATCCAAGTCAAATCAAACCCAGATCAAGTCATTAAAGCACAGTTAGAAGATTTATGAATACATTTGAAAGGTTAAACGACTATCAAATATAACAAGTTTATACTCAAATCGAGCGGCTCGACAAGACGAATCCAACGAGCCCAAGATCACTCAATTCTGACGTCATTAAGGCACTCAAATGTCCATTAAACGTCGTATGATCGAGGGAAACTCTCTGGACCGTCTGATCAAAATGGTTCATATTCATGCATTAATTGTACCCAGAACACTATAAATAGAGCCTCATCCCTCTCATGAAGAGGAGGAAGTCTAAAGAGAGCCCGATGTCTTGAGAAGAAGCTACAGCTCAGCATCACCACCAATCATCGTCGACCACCGCCAACCTCTGTCGTCGACCACTGTCAACCTCCGTCATCGACCGTCGTCGACTGTCGACGACCACCGACTACCGCCGACCTCAGACGACCACCGCCGACCGTCGTCGACCTCCACCAACCGTCATCGATCACCTCCATCCAGACGTCATCAGTCGACGTTGTACCTTGAAAAATATAGTTAATCTTTCATGTTTATGGAACAAGAGATTTATGTAATCATCAATCAATAGTGGATTTCCGCAACTGGGTCAGACCCCGTGGTTTTTCTCTTACGAATTTTCCACGTAAAAACCTTCTGGAGTCATCACCGTTTTTTTGTATTTTATCTGTGTGTGTGCTGAACTTTCGTACAATGCTAAGACGATAATTCGTTACTCTACCTCCGCGAATTTTTTAGCACGCATCAGTACTAAAACATGAAACTCAACCAAAACAATAGCAACAACATGCCTTTATCCTACTAAGTTGGGTAGGCTACATAATTTTTTTTCCTTCATTATGTTTAATGGAATGTCATTTTCATTTAATTTCAATAAATTAATATCATTTTTTATACAACATGCCCTAGTCTTTTATGGTCTGCCTATATCTTCCTTAACATAAGTCAAAGCTAAAACATCTACACTCCTACCTAGGTCATCAGATGATTGATGTTTAATGTAACCAAACAATCTGAGGGTAGGCTACATGAATCTTTTTTCTTCATTATGTCCTATTGAGTGTCATATTTTCATTTAATTCTAATAAATTAAGATCATTTGTTATAAAACATGCCCAAGTCTTTTTAAGTTTGCCTTTATCTCCCTTAACGTAAGTGAAATCTAAGAAATCTAATCCTCTAACTAGGTCATCAGATGGTCTACGTTTAATGTGACCAAATCATCTGAGACAGCTCTCTAGATTTATCAGCCATTGGAGATACACCGAAACTTTCACGGATATATTCGTTTCACATTGTCTTTAAGTGTAAAACCACTCTTCAACCCAAATCTCTCAATAAACGTATAGCTACCATTGTAGATTTGTTTAGCATAAATTCAAACTGATTTTGAGAAATCTTCATATCAAGTCTTAACCTATGTTCAATTACTCTCTCACATAATTTTAATGTATGGCATGTTAACTTAATTCCTCTATAATTAGCAAACTTGTGTGCATCCCTTTCCAAAAATAGGAATCAAATACTCATACTCCACTCCTCAAACATCTTTCTGATTTTTAAAATAATATTAAAAAGTTCAGTAAATCAAAAAATTCTCAAGTCTCGTAACCATTTCCACACTTATATTAAAATACTATCCGATTCAACTGATTTTTCACACCTCATTTTCTTTAAAGCTTCCTCGGACTCAATTTTACTACTACAATGGTAAAAATAAAATTGTTATTATTATTAACAGTATTAAGATCACTAATTGATGGAACTGTCGGTCAACTTTTTTATTTTGAAAATAATTTTTAAATATAAATTTAATATAATAGGCATATAGTTTGGGTTTTTAAAAGTAATATGTTTTAATTTTGAAAAAAATGAGACCAAATTGATCTCATTTGTCTAAAAATTTCTATATCGTGTGCGATACCGCGAATACTACATCTTCCCAAAAGATAAGTAAATACCTCGACGATGGACTCAATTCTATAAACTATGAGATTTGTGATATTCGTTTGGCCTGCGAACTTTTTTATGTGTGACCGACAAGTTTCCCCCTATCTAATATAAGAATTAAATATGGTTTATTTTACTTGGGTTCCAAATTTAATATAGAGGCAGACCCCTATAATTAATTACATATAATGACGGGGGTTACCTGAGAAAACTCTCGATAATAATCACATGTATTAATTTTCACAAATTTAAAGTTTAGGTTTTCACGGTATGACATGAAAAAGTAAGTGGGAGTGGCTCAAATAAGAACAGTTATTTCCAGGAGTCCAAAGAAAGAAAAAAGTAGGGGGTGTCACAGATCCTGAGGAGAAACCCCAGTGACTTCCCAAACTATCATAATCTGTGACTGAGGAAACAATATTATTTAAGTGTTCAATCCTGCCAATTTTATTATTTGTGACTTACATTTACATAATATCCGATTATGCAAATAGCACGCAGAGATAAAAGGGTTTAAGTCGTATCACACGACAACCTCAGAACCTAAGACAAGTTAGGACTTACGCTGCATAACATGATTGTACAAAAGCCTAAAGAGGGTGTGAGGATTTACGTCGCGTTGGGCGAGCTACCTCGAAATCATGTGTTGTTATTTAAACTAAGAAGAGAGAGATTGTTGAAAAAAATTCCCTTGTTGCTCGATCCAAGCTCCTTATCGTGCTGCCCACAAAACTGACTCCAAACTCCTCGTCAAAGTAGCGGTCCTAAAGCCTTAAGGTTCAAAAGGTTTTACCAGGTGCGTTTTAAGGTTTTAGTTTTGTTGTCATTCAAGCATTATGGGGGGGTTAAAGTTGATTAGAGCGACACCGGTTAGGATGTCACGGTTCCCTCGTTCCGGTAGCACTATTTTTTTTTTTGAGTTTACTTAATTTAAACGAGTTGTTCAACTCAATTAAACTGTAAAGATCTCGTTAGCAACCGTGGGTTACATTATCCGAGGGACTCCCGTAAATTCAAAAGGACGTGTTATGTTTTTTTTTTTTTTTGAAAAATATTTTATTTCGAAAATGAAATTAGAACTATGCATGCATGATATATTAAATCAAGAGTAAATTACAGTGATAAAAATGACCATAATTAAAATATACATGAGTACCTGGCGTATCTGTTGTTGTTGTTCCCGCTGAGTGGTTAACTCATAAAACATAAAATAATTTGTGGGGAATTTACATAAAACATTAAAATAAATTTGTTGTTGTTATCGCTGTGTGGTTAGCTCAAATCCCGATACATTGAGTTTCACTGTATGTTAAGTCATTACGAGAATTTCACTGTTTGATTTAATCAAGAAAGTTGTGAACCACATCTTTGTGCATCATCATGTCTGGTGTTTTAATCGATTTGTGAATTAATGTCAAGTGTTTATTTTCATCATTTATTTAAAAATTAGGTAGATAAGCTCTCACCTACGGTGTATTCATAAAATCTAGGAAGCCTCACATCTTAGTGCATCCTCGTGTCTAGTGTTTTAATTGATTTGTGGATTAAGGTCAAGTGTCTCATTTCATCATTCATTTGAAAATTATATAAATGGACTTTCATCTAGGGTGTGCTCCTAAAGTCTAGGAAGCCTACGCTTCTAACTTATACTTGAAGTAGTTTAAAGTGTTTTACCCTAAATTAAGTGTTTTCAAAATAATTAAATCAGAAACTCCTATTTTAACTTAACCATTGGGAAAGAAGCAAAACAAAATAAAAAAAAAAACAGTTTGATCCACCCTCAAAACTAGCAAACCAAAAAGAGGGGAAGCAGAAAGTGAATCGGTCCTAAAAGCGTTTCAATTCTTTCAACAACTGTAATTAAATAGACTCGAGAAGAGTGCACAAGTTTGTTCCAAGACTGTGTTTTGATCGACCCAAAAGTCCTCCAATGCAGTAGGAAAAAGAGATGCCCAGAAGTCACCAAATAAACTCAGAAAAGTGCGGATCAAAAGCCATGAGATGAAATTAAGAAACGCAACCCCAAAACCGCTATACGGACCCAAGAAGGGCAGCCCGTAAGTCGTCAAACAAGCCCAAAAAGTGCAGCAAAACTAGACCCTAAACAGTCCCAAGATCGTCCATTTAATGGCTTCAAAATCAGTATTTAAGGGTTCCAAAACAGCTCTCAACTGCTCCAAACAGCCATTTAACACTTCCAAACAACTACATACAGCTTCAACTCCTCCACAGTCATTTTACACATCCAAATAACTACCTACAAGCTCTGACAACACTCTAAAAGCTCTCACAGCATTCCAAACAGCTCTCCAAACAGTTCTAATAGCACTCTAACAGCTCTCACATCACCCTATATCACTACACAACATTTTTAACACCTCAAACAGTAATTCGCAGCACTACATAACATTTTTAACACCTCCAAACAGCAAAAGAAACATCCTCAAAATAATCCCAAGACGCCAATTTAAAGGTCCCCAAATCCCTCACCAAAACAGCGAATATAGAGCCCAAAACAGTGAGGAAATTGCGCAAGAACAGCCCTCATTTCGTATGTCTCTCGAATCGAATTTGAACAACTTTTTAGATTATCGCCATCAAAATTTTATACCAAGTTAAAGACAATACCAATATATTTATCCATGCATGAATAG